GAAAAACCCCATCTATTGACCTCATCACTGCAGACTCAGCACTGTGCTAAGTACCTTGTGAGTAAGGAGCCCACTCACTCTGCTTGGAGCTTGCTGTGCTGGAGTGTTCATTAATGGTGTCTCCCTTCACTCTCAGAATTTCCAGACTTAGGTGATCTATTTTCTCATTACCCTATTTATAGTCGTTACCTCGACCTCCCCAAAACTCTATGAGGGAGGTATTATTATTTCCACTTTTCAGGGAAGGAAAGCTGAACCTCAGAGGTCCATTAACTTATCCAGAGCCACACAACCAATCAGTGGAAGATTCGGGATAGCAGTGATTGGCAGAACACTGGAATGGCAGCCAGGAGTTCTTGGGCAAATACTGATGATGATAATATGATTAATAAACGTGCATTTTTCTGAGTACATAATAGGTGCCCTACCTTTCTGAGTACTCTATATAAATTATTTCGTTTAATCCTCACAACTCAAGGAGGCAGCTACTGTCATTACCCCCATTTTCACCAGGACACTAAGATTCAGAGAGGTTTAGTCACGTGCCTCAGGTCACACAATCAACAAGCAGCAAAGTCTGCAAATGTGTGCCTCTGAATTCGGGCTCCTGCTTGCTATGCAGAGTGGAAAGGAAGGCCAAGCGAGGAAGGTGGGAGAGAGACAGGACAGAGGGCAGCAAAGCTAGGGGGGCTGAGAGGCTTTGGGGTGACAGGGTAGGTGGAGAGAATGCTCTCACGGCATCCCTCTCTCCCCATGTCAGGTGGGCACAGTCTCAGGCCTGGGGTCCTTGAGCACAGGGCTGGGAGCTCACCCCGCATATCCCAAGGTGGGAGCCCAAGGACTAACAACATGTCATCTATTCTGTCCTCAGGGCCTCAGGTGAGCTGTCAACCAGAGGGGCCCAGACATTGTCTCCTCCAGCCCTTCCCTGGTGCCCACCAAGGTGCTGAGTGACAAGAGTCAGCAGAGCCTGGAGGGGAGGCAGGTGTTGTGGGGAGAGGCTGAGAGGAGTCCTAGGAGAATCAGAGGCGCTTGATTCGGCAAACCACAGACTATCCAAACCCTAAGAATCCTGGGTCATTCCATAGATAAGAAAACTAAGGTTTAGAGAGAAGCCACTTAGCCCGAGTCCCACAGGGAGCCAGCAGCAGGTTGGTCTGCCTGGACTCAAGGCCACACCCTCTGCCACTCCTGGACCCACCCATGACTGTGGGAGGAAGGAAGTCAGGAAGGAAGAGCAGGTTTCGAAATGTGACAGTTTGAGAGGGAGAGGGATTATGGGTGGGTGGGGTGGGTGGGGTGGGTGGGGTGGGTGAGGCGGCTGCAGTGTGAGCACTGATCCTTGAGGGCATGCCTGGAACCTGGTAAGCATCAGCTCCCCTTTTCACAGCCTCATCCCAGCCAAGGGACAGGGAAGGGCGCTCATTCATTCATCCAATAAATGTTCACTGAGCATCCACTATGCCCTGGGTCCTGAGCCACCTGAGACAGACTCCAACCACCTGGAGAGAATGAGACCCAGGCCTCGCTTCAGGAGGCTTACAGTCCAGTGGAGGAGAGGGACATATAAGCAACGAACTATAACCTGGCTTCCTTGATGATTGATTGGGGGCGATTGGAGTCTCAGAGAGCAGAACTCGAGCTGAGCACATGGAGGAGGTGATGTTGGGTTTATTTTGGTAAGGGGTCTGGACCCTGGTCTTGAACTCCCCTCTCCGGTACCCATCAGTCCCCATGAGGGCTGGGGAGGACGCTGACCAGGGCAGAATTGGTTGTATTCACCAGAACAGTTGCTTTCCCCCTGCAGAATCCTGGCCTGAATATCAGCGCACAAATGCCAGGTCATGGGGGTGTGATGCTGATGAGCACAGAGGACTTAGGTCACCAAAGGAGCAGCTCTGGGACAGGTCCCATGGGGACCACAGCAGTGACCTCCTGGGATAAGGCAGGTGTAGAGTTGGTGGGGGTGGGGGCGGCAGGTTGGGTTTCTTGATAATTGCTCGGCAAAATCATCAAGGAACAAAAAGGACAGGTGTGTTTCTCCTGCGGCAGTAACAGAGGGCAGAGTGGGGACATATGGGGACAAATAGAGCAAGAAAAAAAGACCTTGGTTTCGCAGAAAGAAGGACTTTTTAATATCTGGGTAGTGGGTCAGCTGCCTCTCGGAGGTATGCAAGCTGGAACCCTGATCAAGTATCCACTGAGAACTTGACCCGGGGCAGGAAGTTGCAAGGGAGATGGTCTTTGAGATTCAGGGATGATGATGATAATGGTAGTTCTGATTCATCCCACCCATCTTACCCCCCTGTGATGAGGTTTCAGATGCCCAGAGGGTGGTAAGGGCCGGTTTGGGCTATGATAGGGAGAGGGGAAGCCAAGGCAGAATTCTCAGGACATGAACCCTCCTCACCTCCTAACCTCCACCCCCTCCACCCCCTCTCCCCCCACCCCCCCCCCATCCCCGCCGCACACCTTGTAAGCCCCCTGGGGCATGCCAGGGCTGAGATAATTACACCTTAATAACCTCACCCCCTGCTCCTGACTCATCCCCTAAAAAAAAAAGGAAATTGCATCCTGGTCTGGCCTGTCCCAACATAGGTTGTGGCTTGTCTTCGGAGACTTCAGCTTCAATGTGCCCTCGGACAAGAAGTCCCTTTCTTCCCAACTCTGGGTCTCAGTTTCAGTAAGTAAAATGGAGACCTGGGCTTCCAATGGTCCTGCCAGCTCTGCTGCTGTTATTAGATTAGCCAATCCTATGTACAAAGTAAGTGGGGTTCCTGCCTGTGTTTTCAGACTAAACAGAGGTCACCTAAGATCAAAGCTCTGGGACTTGAGAGGTCTGTTCCTGCCCAAGAACTTGGTGGGAAGGCTTCAGTCTTAATGTGAGAATTGTGAGAATTGGCAAGCGAGTGGGGAAGTCCCCCGGCAGTATTGTTCTAGCTTTTGCCACTCGGAGGCACTGTGGAACAGGGGTCCTGCACAGTTCTTGCTCACCCACCACAAGGGTGGCTGTAGGAGCTACCAAGCTTGGGACACATGTGTCAGCTGTGTAAGTTCCTATTCAGGTGTTCAGTCATTATCCCCAAATCATGATGCCAGGCTAAGGCTTCCAGTCAAGGCCAAACCAGAGCTAGCCTTTTCCAAAAATCTCAGGCCTAGGTATTGAGACTAGCACCAGCCCATTCCTCACAAGTAGAGACCAGCTAGAAGGCTTTCACAGTCTAGACAAGAGAGACTCAATAGCTTGGCCTAAGGTAGCTGCAGACACAGAGATGTGGGATGGATTCAGGGCAAGTTTTGGAGGCGGTGCCATGTCAACTTGACGATATATTGGATACGGTATGTGAGAGCAAAAGGGAATCAAAAAAGAGTCTTTGGTTTGAGCCTGATCCTCAGAACAGATGGGATACCAGCCACCAAAATGGGGAGAGTGAGAGACTTGGGGGTGGGGCAGGGAGGAAATCAAGAGTTTGGCATGTTGGGCTGGATTTGTCCAGAAGACCAGCAAACAGAGATTTCAGGTAGATGGTTGACTATATTGTTTGGATTTCAAAGGAGAAGTCAGAATGTAAACTTGGGTGATAACAGCAGCAGACCTCCATCAAGACCACTTCATTTTATCAAAAAACTTCCAGTAACAGTGAACCTCAAAAGGCAAGAGTTCAGAGGCCCCATTCTTTTCCTCCTGAGATGCTCCTTAGATAAAGGGACCCACATCAGAGGATATTGTCAGACTCACAATAAGCATATATGTTAGCTATTCATCTTACTATTCTTATTATCATGGCTGAGGGCAGAGTGGCTTTCACATTACCTGGGGCAGCCTTAGCCAGCCTCCACGTTTGAGTTTAAATGTTGGAAAGAAGAGGTGAATGTTATTATTGAAGAGGGGTCCTAAAGATTTATGCAGACACCAGAATTTCATGTTGCAAAGTTCAGCATGTATGAATCAACGACCTAAACTTGGATTCGAAAGATGTCACATTTACCACTTAAATTTAACTTTGAGTTCTGATTCCACTGGACTTGTCAGAAAATTCCATCCCAGTTATCATTAGGGCTCCCTCCATGTGCCAGTTGGTTACTGCTGTGTAACAAACCACCCCAGCACTTACAGGCCGACAACAACAACCATTCTCTCTCTCATGAACCTGCCATTTGGACAAAGCTCAGCAGGGACAGCTTGTGTCTGCTTCATTTGGTGTCAGGTGGGGCAGCGTGACTGGGGGCTGGAGAATTTGCTTGCAAGATGGCTCACTTCTCTGGCTGCCCAGTTGGTGCCAGCTGCTGCTGGGAGTTCAGTGGTCTGTGGGTTGGAGGTCTCAGTCCCTCTCCATGTGGGCTTCTCCATGGGCCATTTGGCTTTTTTCATAGCATGGCACTGGGTTCCAAGATCAAGCAACTCAAGGAACCAGACAGAAGCTATATCAACTTTTATGACTTATCCTTGGAAGTCACAAAGTGCCATTCTGTTTTCGCCACAATTCCTCCCAGATTCAGCAGGAGGAGAAACAATGGGAGCAGAGATATCACTGCAACCACCTTTGGAAAAAACAATCTGCCACTCCCCTAACAGAAAAGTTATATGAAGGTTCGAGCGTCTTTAGAAAGCCAAACGTTTTGGCCAGCTCTCTCCAAACATTGGCCAGATAAGCCATTGCTCTGATGCGCATGGACCAAGCCCATGTTGTGTTTTTAGAGTCTGGGGCTTCTGGGTTTTTTACTCTTGTGGGGTCAAAGGTCATGGCAACATAGCCTAGAGGTCCCAAACAAGCACAGGCTCAGAAGCCAGATTTCCAGCTCCATCACTTAGAGGCTGTGCGACTCAGTTTCCCCATCTGTGAAGTTGGAACAGGTTTATGAAGATTAAATGAGCTAATATTTAAATGTTTAGTTTTATAAGTGCTTGGTTCATAGGAAGCTTTATTAAATTATCCAGCCAAGAATTACTGAGCACTTACTGTATACTAGGTACCTAATAAAACAGAGCCAAGAGCCCCATGGCGGGTACCCTGAGGCAGGGAATACTTGATGACATTACTTCAGTGGTTCTCAAGTGTGGAAGATTGTATTTGACAGGATGGACATCTCAATACACTAGATCTCATCTCACATGTCCTTCTTACAATGTGGCATTGACCCATTTTCATAAGGGGTGGGGTGTGTTCCTTCCCCCTTAAACCTGTGCAGACCTTTGTAGCGGCCCTGACCAATAGCCTATGGTAGACCGAGTGCAACTTCTAAGGTTTGGTCATAAAAGGCATTGCAGCTTCCACCTTGGTCTCTTGCATCACTTGGTCAGCGGAAACTAGGTGCCATGCCATGAGGATACTCCCCAAATCTTTCTCTTAGATGTTTGAGATAGACCTGCTCTTCTGCCAAACTGCAACCTCCTGGCGGCAGGGCGAAGGTATCCTTCATGGCCATGGAGCCTGCAGCACCCAGCACAGCACCCAACACCTGAATGAATGAACACTGAAGTAGACGGAAGTGGATGGAGGGAGAAGATGCTTGGGTTGAGGCTGGATATGCCACCCACCTTTCCACTGGAGACACCCCATCCAATTCAAGACAGTCTAAATGCCCCCTCCTCAAGCGAGCCTCGCTATCACCTGCAGACCAGGCTAGGCCCCTCTTTAATACTTCCTTTCAGCTCCACGTACTTTGCCTTAACAACCTATATCAGAATGATAGTTATTTGTGGACTCATCTATTTACGTGTCACCTTGCTCATCTGGAATATAAAGCTCTGGCCCTAACCAGTTTGGCTCAGTGGATAGAGCATTGACCTGCAGACCAAAGGGTCCCAGGTTCTATTCCGGTCAAGGGCATGTACCTTGGTTGCAGGCTCCTCCCCAGCCCGGGCCATGGTCGGGGCGCGTGCAGGTGGCAACCAATTGATGATTCTCTCATATTGATGTTTCTCTCTGTCTTTCCCTCTCTCTTCCACTCTCCCTAAAAATCAATGGAAAAATATCCTCAGGTGAGGATTAACAACAACAAATAAATAAGTAATTAAAGCTCTGTTCTTGGGGCTCCAAATGGCAGCCAGTTGTCCTCCACAAGGTATCGTTATTCCCACTCTACAGAAGAGTACCTTGGAGCACAGAGAAGTCAAGCAGAAGGTAGTTTAGCCACTAGATGACCAAGTCAAGATATGAACCCACATGAGCTGATCCCAAAGGCTGTGCTCATAACGACTGAGCCACAGAGCCTCACTGTGTATCTCTCGAGGGAAAGTCCAGATCTATCTCGCGGACCAATATATCCCAGTGCCAGTCTGGCACAGAAAATACACAGTCAATCCCCGTATTTGTGGATTCCGTGTTTGCAAATTGGCCTACTGCCTGCAATTTATTTTTAATTCCAAGTCAGTCCTCATGTGCAGACTGAAGAAAATCGGGTGGCCTAACATGGGTGCTCCCAGCTGTAGTGGGAAAAGGTGATGCTCTGTCTCCTTATTTCCGCTCTTGTACTACAAACAAGTGTCCTTTTTGCAGTCTATTTAATGCCACGTTTTCTGCATTTTTGTCTTTTTTGTTGATAATTTTGCAGTTTAAAATGGCCCCAAGCTTAGTGCAGAAGCGCTGTCTAATGTTCCTAAGCACAGGAGGCTCCGACGTGCTTTACGGAGAAAACGCATGTTAGCTAAGCTTCATTCAGGCCTGAGGTACAGTGTTGTCCATGAGTGTAATGTTAATGAAGCAACAATACATTAAACTAGGGGGCCAGTGCAGGACTTGGTGCACCTTGAGAGGAACTGTGGGCTGTGAGGCATGCTGGTAGGTACAGGGGCAGGTCTTGGTCCATCCTCCATGCCCCTGCCCGGCCCCTCCCGCCACGGTCCCCCCACCCCATCTTATTAGATAGGATAAGGTGCCTTTAAACAGAAACACATCCTCCATGCCCCTGCCCCTCCCCTCCCGCCGAGGTCCTCCCACCCCATCCCTGTCCCCTGTCTGCCAGCAGCCCCGCTCACATGCTGCTCATCAATATATAAAAACAAGGTTATATATTGATCGACTGATGAAGCAAATTGTGACAAAGGCTCCCAGAAACCTAGCCCTGTACTTTCCCTAAGAGCAGTGGTTCAGTGCTCACTAATTCAGTGTTCAGGGAGACTTGCTAGAACGTAACTACCACAAATAACCAGGATCCACTGTGTGGGACAACTAGTGGCTGAATGAGCACGTGGCTGGCAGGCTGAGGCAGATGGGGGCAGGGGTGAGAAACATGCCACGGGCTTGGCCTCATCTCCCTGTCCTCTCCCTCAGGGATCAGAGTCACGGAGGTGGACTGGCAGTGGCCAAGGAATGGTGCTGCCCACCACACCCAGGAGTACCCCGGCCCCGAGCTGGTGGTTCGCAGGGGCCAGATGTTCACCTTCATGCTGGAGCTGAACTGTGCCCTGGACAGCAAGGACACCCTCATCTTCACGGTGGAGACAGGTAACTGGCTCACGGCAGCCTCCACTGGGCCACAGTCAGGAACACTTGTCTTGTGACCAGTGACCTGAGACCCTGTAGTCATCAGCCCAGACTTGGGGGCAAACAAATCCCTATACGTGGGCTGAGCCCTGGATCCTGGACGGTTTTGACGACAGCTTTCTGGGGGTGGCTGGGAGGTGCTGTAGCAGGCAGAGGGATAGACAAGATGATGACTCTGGAATCCTGAGGACACCAAGGATTCTGGAAGGTCAAGAAATCAGCAGGCAGCCGAAACCGGTTTGGCTCAGTGGATAGAGCGTCGGCCTGCGGACTGAGGGGTCCCAGGTTCGATTCCAGTCAAGGGCATGTACCTGGGTTGCGGGCACATCCCCAGTAGGAGATGTGCAGGAGGCAGCTGATCGATGTTTCTCTCTCATCGATGTTTCTGACTCTCTATCTCTCTCCCTTCCTCTCTGTAAAAAATCAATAAAATATATTTTAAAAAAAAAGAAAAGAAAAAAATCAGCAGGCACCTGTCAGCCCACACCTTTCTCTCCTGGCCATACAAAAGGCAGACTTTGGTCTCAAAGGGGCCTGTCACTTTCTCTTTGATCCAGGAGGTGGGTGGGAGTCAGGACAGCTGAGTACCCCATTCTGCCAAGGCCCAGTATTGTCTTCGCCAGGCTCTTCCCCGCAGGTGGTGTCCCAGCAGCTCGGGGAGGGAAGGCTGCACGTCCAGGCCGGCGGCTTTCTGCTTTTCCGGAGCTGGATTTCCTGAGGTGACTGGTCTCATGAGTGCCTCTCCTCTCCTCCAGGGCCCCAGGCTTCTGAGGCTCTCGGCACCAAAGCCGTGTTCCCGACATCGGAGCTGGAGGTGGGAAATGCCTGGACAGCAGTGAGGGCGGCTCAGAAGGGGAAAACAGTGACCATCAAGGTCACCAGCCCTCCCGATGCCGTCATTGGCCGCTACCGGCTGAGCGCCAGGCTTTCCTCTCGCCGCAAACACAGTGACCGGAAGCTGGGCGAGTTTGTTCTCCTTTTCAACCCCTGGTGCCCAGGTAGGAGCTGCCATGACCAAAGCACAAGCTTTCCTGGAAGTTGTCCTAGAGGAGGGCTTACCCTTAGGAAGTGCCTGGGAGGCAGGTCAATGGCTAGGGAGGTCAATGCCAAGATCTTGGTGAGAGCCAGGCCTAGGTGGAGGTGGGCACTGGGCAGAGGAACCTGGTAGCAGGTGCTCCACAGGAGCCTGTGCCAGGGGGATGGGAACCGGTGGTTTCTGTGTGCAGAGGCCAGTGGGCAGCGATGGGGCCTGAGGCAGGAGGGACCCAGGAATGGGTAAGAGCTGGGCTTTAGCCATCAGACAGCGTTGGTTCGGTCCCGGCTCTCCTGTTGCTTCTCTCTATGAGTGTCAGCTTTCTCATCTGTAATATGGGAATAACAGCCTATCTCTAAGGGTTATGGTGAAAATTCATAGCACCAATGCTTGCAATATAGTAAACACATTATAAGGGGTTCTGGGGTCAGTATTCTTATTAGTATTGAAGAAATTTGAGGCTGCTGTTGGTACCAGTAGGGTCAGCCAAAGACATCAGGACCCCTAAAATCCTTCAGTATTGGGCTGGGTTGGGGTTGGTCCCTGCCTGGGAGAGATCAGCCAGGTGGAACGCAGCCTGGGAGCCCAGCAAGCCCCTCTTGGCCTCTCCTGCCAGCCAGCCTCCCGGCACCTCCTGCAGCTGGTCCCTGCTGAGCCCCTTTGACCTGTGCCTTTCAGAGGATGATGTGTTTCTGGCCTCAGAGGAGGAGAGACAGGAGTACGTGCTCAATGACAGCGGGATCATCTTCCGCGGCGTGGAGAAGTGCATCCGAGCCCAAGGCTGGAACTTCGGGCAGGTCTCCAGGGGCACCAGCCACAAGGGGGATGTGGGCTAGGGCATGCGAAAACTCAACCCAGGAGCCCTTTCTCCCAGGAGGGACAAGCTGTCTGGCTCCCAGAGCAAATTCGTCCATTCATTCATTCATCTACTATTAGTTGTGTCAGGGCCTGCGCTGGGTCCTTGGGAAGGCAAAGTGCTTTGGATGTATTTGGAAACAGAATGGGTCAGTTCTGCTATCCTAATATATGAAAAGCCAGGGGCCCTCACGACCAAAACAAACGGACGGATAATGGAACTGCAGGCTGCAAGGGGCGACAAGGCTGGCAGGGGTGTTAGTGAGGGACGACCAAGCGACTGAACAGCAGGCTGCATGGAGTGACCGAGCCAGCAGGGGGGTTAGGGAAAGGTGACCAAATGACTGAACAGCAGGCTGCGTGGGGCAACCAGGCTGGCAGGGGGGGAAGTTGGGGGTGACCAGGCTGGCGGGGGGGAGCAGTTGGGGCGATCAGGCAGGGAAGCAGGTGAGCAGTTAGGAGCCAGCGGTCCCGGATTGCGGTCCCAGAGATTGGGCCTAAACCGGCAGTCGGACATCCCCTGAGGGGTCCCAGATTGGAGAGGGTGCAGGCCAGGCTGAGAGAACACCCTCCCCCCCCACCACCCGCACGAATTTTGTGCACCGGGCCTCTAGTAGAAAGATAAATAGCGTAGATCAAGGGTTCTCAGTCTCAAGCCTGCACCAGCATCACGTGGAAGGCCCCTGAAAACACAGATGTCTGGGCACCACCCCCAGAGTGGCTGACTCATGAAGGGCTGGAGAGGGGATAATTTGCATTTCTAACAAGATCCCACGTGAAGTCATTGCTGCTGGTCTGGGGCCACACCTGAGAGCCTCTGGCTTAGATAAATAGTTACAATACAGGCGTGATGGGCAGAGGAAAGTCAGGGTAGTAGAGGTGGGAGCAGAGGGTGTTCAGAAGATCACGAAAGGAAACGCCACGGTGGGGCTTGTGGGAGGCTTCGTGGTATTAACAGGGGCTGGTGTCCAAAGTTGGGCGGGACCTGGACGGGCAGAGGGAAGAGCAGACAGGGCAGCAGGAGGTGGGAAGTCGGAAGGTACCGAGGTTCTGCTGGAGGAGCTCGGTCTGCCCGGGCTCCGGGTGCCCAGCCAGAAGAAGGGTGGCAGGCAAGGGAAGGACCTTGACTGTGGGCTGAGGAGTGGGTGTGGAAAGCATTTGGGGTCAGGGACTGGGGACAATACACTTCTCAGCATCCACTGCTTAGAGTCATGTGGGAAAGTGAGGGTTCCCAGACCCTCCAAATTTTCCAAGACTGGACATTTTAATTTGTATGTAGAAACTTCCCAGTGTTTAAATGAATTCGCCCAGTTTGCCAATTAATTCGAATGTAGTTGAAAAAATCATAGAAACCATCCGAGTAAGCCGGTGGGGTCGACGTGACTCCAGAGCCACAAGTTCACACTATTGACTGCGGGCACTGGGGAGCCATGGGGGCTATTGAGCAGGAGAGGACATGGTTAGGGTTGAGCTTCTGGTTCCCGGGTGACTTTTGAGGAAGGGTTTCTGAGTCTTGGGGATGCTCGGTGGGACCTCTAGGGGGTATGGGGAGGCAAACTCCCCTTCCCCTGCACAACACAAATGACTGACTGGGTGAGGTCGTGGGAGGGTCTGGAATATGGGTGAGGCTCTGGCTCTAAGCACAGCCTCTCTGGGGACAGTTTGAGGAGGACATCCTGAACATTTGCCTCTCCATCCTGGACCGAAGCCCCAGTCACCAAAACAACCCGGCCACCGATGTGTCCTGCCGCCACGACCCCGTCTACGTCACCAGGATCATCAGCGCCATGGTGAGGAGCCCCGCCATCCTCTTGTTTTAATTCTCTACAGCTGCCTAACAAACCACCCCAAAACTCAGGGCTCTAAAACAACCATTTATTATGCTTACAATTTTACGGATCAGGGACTTGGGCAGAGCACTGCGCGGATGGCTTGTCTCTGCTCCAAGATGCTTGGGCGGGGGGTGTCTGAGTGGCTGCAGATGTCTGGGGCCTTGGTTCTGGCGGCCAGTGTTCTCTGGAAGCCCTTGGTCTCTCCCATGCCGCGCCTGCCGGAGCTGGACCGTGAAGATGGCTTCTGCACTCTCCTGGCTGGCGCTGGGGTGGGGTAGTGGGAAGAGCTGGGGCTGGCCAGTCATCATTGTCTCTCCATGCAGCCTTTCCACGTGGCTGGGCTGGGCTTCCTCGGAGCATGGAAGTCTGAGGGTAATCAGGCATGGCACCTGGCTTCTCCGCACCTGGTTGTTCCAGAAAGAGGAAGCCGGAGCTGCCAGTGGTATGAGCGCCTGGGCCTGGAAACTGGCGCAGCGTCACTTCCACCATAGTCCTTGGCAAAGTAGCCACAGCAGCCAGATTCGGGGAGAGGGTGCTCAGACTCACCTCCTGGGGAGGGCTGCCATCTTTAACCCATTACACACCAGTCCTCCCTCCTCAGAAGAAGGCCTTGTAGCTCTCTCTAAGAAAGCAAGTGTTAGACAAAATGGACAAAGCTGCTTTTCTCATATTTGATACTCTCAGTTCCCCAAGACCTCAGAGAGCTGTTGGAGCACAGGGACTCCAAAGCAGTGACCAGTGCTGACAGTAGACACTATGGCCCTGGGGCACAAGCCCTGAACTCCTTTTACTCACTTGCTGTGTGATCAGGGCAAGTCCCTTAACCTCTCTGAATCTCTCTCTCTCTTTCTTTTTTTTTCTTTCTTTTTCATCTGAACACAAAAGTAAAATAATAGAACCTACTTTAAGCAGGTTAATATAGTGGGCCCAAAGCTTTAGAGGAGTGCCTGGCACCCGGGAAGCATTTATTGAATGTTAGCCATCTCCATAATTATTATTCGACCAACAGTTCCCCAAAACACACCATTTAAAACAGGAAATGCTCTAAGACTGTTGATGATTTTCTTTTTTTGTTGTTGTTTTTTGTTTGTTTGTTTGGTTGGTTTTTTTTAATTAAATCTTTATTGTTCAGATTATTACATTTGTTCCTCTTTTTTCCCCCCCATAACTCCCCTCCTCCCAGTTCCCGCCCCACCCTCCGCCCTCACTCCCCACCCACTGTCCTCTTCCATAGGTGCACGATTTTTGTCCAGTCTCTTTCCGCATCTCCCACACCCCTTTCCCCCCCAAGAATAGTCAGTCCATTCCCTTTCTATGTCCCTGATTCTATTATGATCACCAGATTATTTATTCACTTGATTCTTAGATTCACTTGTTGATAGATGCATATTTGTTGTTCATAATTTGTATCTTTACCTTTTTCTTCTTCTTCCTCTTCTTAAAGGATACCTTTCAGCATTTCATATAATACTGGTTTGGTGGTGATGAACTCCTTTAGCTTTTCCTTATCTGTGAAGCTCTTTATCTGACCTTCAATTCTGAATGATAGTTTTGCTGGATAAAGTAATCTTGGTTGTAGGTTCTTGGTATTCATCACTTTGAATATTTCTTGCCATTCCCTTCTGGCCTGCAAAGTTTCTGTTGAGAAATCAGCTGACAGTCGTATGGGTATTCCCTTGTAGGTAACTGGGTTTCTTTCTCTTGCTGCTTTTAAGATTCTCTCTTTGTCTTTTGCTCTTGGCATTTTAATGATGATGTGTCTTGGTGTGGTCCTCTTTGGATTCCTTTTGTTTGGGGTTCTCTGCGCTTCCTGGACCTGTAAGTCTATTTCTTTCACCAGGTGGGGGAAGTTTTCTGTCATTATTTCTTCAAATAGGTTTTCAATATCTTGCTCTCTCTCATCTTCTGGCACCCCTATAATTCTGATGTTGGTACGCTTGAAGCTGTCCCAGAGGCTTCTTACACTATCTTCGTATTTTCGGATTCTTTTTTCATTTTGCTTTTCCAGTTGGTGCCGGGAGCCAGTCCATCCTTGCTGTTTCAAAGGACCTGGCATATATGGCATACTGTTCTTAAAATGTTTGCTCACCTTCTTGGCACTATGTGTTTTAACCAAGGTCTCCTCTCTGAGAAAGGTTGTTTCCCCAGGTAGGGATTTTTTCCCTGAAGTCAGGGAGGGGATAAAACTCCTTAACTAAGTACCAGGTGGGTAGTTAATCACTTTAACTACAAACAATCATGCTTAAGCTACATAATCTTTACTCCCTGGAATGGAGATAAGAAACGCCCTAACCTTTGTAATAGAGATTGATAGGATTGAATCAACTGGTATAAATACAGATGTAACAAGACAGCAAGAGACAGAACTTAGAATACAGAACTTAGAACACAGAACTAAGAAGACAGAACCTACACAGAATCTAGAGACAGAACCTAGTGAGAGAACATGGCAAAAGATCCTGGTCTGAACCTGACTACAGAAATTGGCAAGAGAACCTGACTAGAACCTGGTGACTGAACCTGGCTGGAGAACCTGGTGACAGAACCTGGCTGGAGAACCTAGCGAGGGAACATGGCTACAGAACCTGGCTGGAGAACCTGGAGAACCTAGCAAGAGAACATGGACACAGAAACTGGCTGGAGATCCTAAGCAGAACTTCGCTGGAGATCCAGACCAGAACTTGGCTGGAGATCCTGGCTGGAGATCCTGGCTAGGCTGCTGATCAACTGAACACTGTCTCCGTGTCATTCCTTCTTCGCTGACTCCATCCACACCTTTGGGAACCCCTGAACCTGCTGGGGTTGGACCCCGGCAAGTTGGGTGTTTTTTGCTTCTTCGCGTTTCGAATCTTTGACTTGATTCTTGCGCTCCTCTGGTCTGCTGTTGGGTGTCTGTATAATATTCTTTATTTCAGTCAGTGTATGCTTAATTTCTAGTTGGTTCTTTATCACAACATCGAGGGTCTCATTAGATTTCTTGAGGATCTCATTACATTTATCGGCGGTCTCACCAGTCTTTTCGAGGGCCTTACTAAGTTTATCGGCAGCTTCTAGACAGTTCTTGAGAGACCTTAAAAGTGTGGTTTTGAGCTCTATATCTTCCATTTCTGACATTTGCGTCCTGTTTCTTTGTCTCCGCATTTTTATATCTTTTCTTGGTGCACCCCCTAGTGGTCTTTGTGCGCAGTCTTGTAGTTAAGCCTTGATTGTTGTCGGTAATACCAGGGGTGATTTGACCTCCAGGCTAACTGGCTATGAGAGCCCTGATTTTCAACAATAGAGTAACCCAATGGGAGGTCACTACATGTAGTAAATGGTAGCGAAAAGTAGAAATTTTAAGACACTAAAATTTTCAGACAATTTAAAAGCAAGAGGTGACCCCAAATGCCTGGATGGTCCAAAGCTGGAGGTGATTGTTCAATGGTGAGGCTGCCGAAGGGGGGAGCCCTGCTGGTGGTGGACCCATCCGTCTGTGCAGGTGAACAGCAACAACGACCGGGGCGTGGTTCAAGGCCAGTGGCAGGGCAAGTACGGCGGCGGCACCAGCCCGCTGCACTGGCGCGGCAGCGTGGCCATCCTGCACAAGTGGTTCAAGGGCAGGTTCAAGCCAGTCAAATACGGCCAGTGTTGGGTCTTCGCTGGAGTCATGTGCACAGGTACTCCAAAATTAGGCCACTTCTCTCATTTACATTAATTTGCATAGATCTCTTCTCTTTCACCCCCCCATCCACTCCCCCCCGCCCCCCACAAAAAAAAAAAAAAAACACACCCAGTCTTTCTTTACTGGTGAAGGGGAAATAGAAGTCTGGCTAATGAAGAGAGAAAGCGGATAGTTCATTTACGTGACTGTGGATCATTTATTTGGCCAAAGGAGTTCCCCCTCCCTCTGCCTGGAACTCACTGAGTGCCCTTGGGCAAACCCTGTGGCCCCACGGCCTCCGGTCCCCTGGTCCCCTCGGGATTCCAAGGCTGTTACATGGCTTCCAAGGTCCTGCCAGCCTTGGAGCCTGTCCATTCAAAAGTGGGGGAGGGGGCAGTAGTGTCCCCAGAAGTCCCCTGAAAGAAGGTAGAGGAGAGGGTGGTGTTTGTGAGAGTGGAGACAGGAGTCTCGGCCCTGACCAAGTAGACAAAGACAAGGAGGAGCCTGTGGCCAGAAATGAGGGGGGCAGCAAGCTGGGGGCGCCAGACCCCTCCCCAGTGCAGGGGCCTGGCTGCCCCTGGAGCCTCACCAGCCTCCTACTTTTCAGTCCTTAGGTGCTTAGGGATCGCGACACGGGTTGTGTCCAACTTTAACTCGGCCCATGACACAGACAGGAACCTGAGTGTGGACAAATACGTGGACTCCTTCGGGCGGACCCTGGAGGACCTGACGGAAGACAGCATGTGGTGAGTCCCAGGCCCGCTGGGTCCCAGGGGCTCCCTGAGGCAGTCCCCAACCTGGAGCCCAACTCTCCTGAGTTGAGCCAGTTCTGGGAGGAGTGAGAGGCACCGTGTGTGTGGTGGGGGGCGGTCCTAGGCAGAGGGACTCTGCTGAGATGCAGGAGTCTTTGGACGCGTGACTCGGAGGTCATGAGGGGGCTCAGGGTCTGACCGCCTCGAACCCCTGGTCCTCCCCTCTGTAGGACAAAGCCCTCCCCAGAGTCCTGTGACTATTACATTTTTTTAAATATATTTCTTTATTGATTTCAGAGAGGAAGGGAGAAGGAGAGAGAGATAGAAACATCAATGATGAGAGAGAATCATTGATCGGCTGCCTCCTGCACACCCCCTACTGGGGATCAAGCCCGCAACCCAGGCATGTGCCCTTGGCTGGAATCAAACCTGGGACCCATTGGTCCGCAGGCTGACGCTCTATCCACTGAGCCAAGCCGGCTAGGGCTACATTTTTGAAAATAGGGAATGCATTCATGTGCTTTGAAATTCCAAAGGTACAAAATTGGCCACAGTGGTAAGTCTCCCTCCGACCCGTCCCAGCCTCCCTGTCCTCCTCCCGGAGGCAGCACTGTGATCAGCTTCTCCCATCTCTTCCCAGAGTCCCTGCAGACACAAGAACAAGCACATAGTGAGTCCCCTTACACACCTGCTTTTTCATATTGGCAGCGTTGTGTAACAAGGCAGACCTCGTCTTGTTGCACATTTTATTTATTGTGTTTCGCTTTTTTTTAAAAATATATTTTATTGATTTTTTACAGAGAGGAAGGGAGAGGGATAGAGAGTCAGAAACATCGATGAGAGAGAAACATCGATCAGCCGCCTCCTGCACACCCCCTAACTGGGGATGTGCCTGCAACCAAGGTACATGCCCTTGACCGGAATCAAACCTGGGACCCTTGAGTCTGCAGGCCGACGCTCTATCCACTGAGCCAAACCGGTTAGGGCTGCGTTTCGCTTTATTGAACTTCACAGATGTTGCATTTTTGACAAGACCCCCTCCCCCCGTAAGCAAAAAAATCACAGCTCGTTTATTGTGGTACCTCGCTTTATTGCGGTGGTCTGGAACCGAACCCAAACATCTTCCAGATCTGCCTGTACTGTCATCCTGCTTTTGCATTTAACAACTTTATATCAGTACATTCAAGGTTTTCTTATTACTTGTAGTGTGTAAAATAATGTCGCACTAGTGTATGCGAGGCCCAGTCCGAGTGCACATATACTAACTCACGTTCCTCCAAAGAGCCTTGTGAGCGAGGTGGTATTGTTACCTCTATTTTGCAGATGAGGAGCCTGAGCTCAGAGAGGTTAGGTAACTTGTCTAAGGCCGTACAGCTAGTGAGCGGACCAGCAGGGGTGTGCACCTGGTCTGCCTTCCAGTTTTATGGGAACAATCATTGTTTCTCTGACCATCTCACATGGATGGACCGAACGGCTGCCTTTTATAGACAAGGCTTCAGTGAATAACCTCGTCCGAATGTTCATACGTATACGAGTTGACACACAAGTCAACTTTCTAAAGAGCAGAGGAAACCAGGAAGAACATACAACACAGAGCACAGACAGCCTTCGCAAGCCTGGCCTTCGAATGTCCTTGCCCCGCCAGGGAGTGTGCCCAGGAGCCCTCCCCCGCCCTTCTCCTGCCTCACATCACCTGCCTCTCTTCTCCCCTTTCCTTCTCTTTTTGCTTCTCTTCGCTCCCTGTCCCCACGGGAGCGCCACAAAAAGGAACAGACCTTTTGGATGTTGGGGCCTCTGTCACCATGCAGGCTGTCGCTGTCCTCCTTTTTGCCCCCAGATGCTTATCAAGATGTCTTCCCAAAAGCCATTACCTACCAAACAAGGGTTCGGAGACCAGCTGTAAAGATGGCACATCGGACCAACTAGGTTTCTCTCTGCTGCTTCCTTACTGTGTGACCCTGTGTCACCTTTCCTTGTCTCACAGTCTCATCTTTAACGTAGGAAACTTAAAGTAGAACCTGAGCTCCTTACCAAAGCCTACAGAACTCTGCATAATCTGAACCCTACGTGAACCCCATGCTTGCTGTAGCCCAGAGATACTTACATACCTTCTGTTCCTTGAACACACTGAAGCTTTTTCTTGTCTCGAGACCCTTCGCACATGCTAGTCCTCCTGCCCGGAACACTGTTCCCTTCACTCCTCCCATGGCTACTTCTTTCTCCTTTAACTCGCATCTCAGATGTCATTTACCTACAGCAGGTCTCCAGCAGTTATGCTCTATCTCAGGCCCCTCTTTTCACAGCATTGTTATTTGCATTTGTTTTATTTATCTGCTTACTTAATTTCACCTATCTCCCCATCTGTCTCCTTTGTTAGAATGTAAGCTGCATGAGAGCAAGGATCTTCTTATTTGCAGTTGTATTTCTAGTACCTTAAACAACAGGTTCTTGATACACACACACACACACACACACACGATACGTTTTCATCAGACCAGTTGAATGAATGGCTCACAAGATCCCACCTCAGCACCCTTGCAGAGTACCGGCCCAGGGAGGGCTCCCACTAGGAAGTTCCCCTAACATGGGCCTCTGTGCTCACTGTAGGCCACCCTGCCCCCTCCTCTCTCTGTGGCAGGAATTTCCATGTCTGGAATGAGAGCTGGTTTGCCCGGCAGGACCTGGGCCCCTCTTACAATGGCTGGCAGGTTCTGGATGCCACCCCCCAGGAGGAGAGCGAAGGTATGGGCTCAGCCGGGTGGGTCCCAGACACCTGCTTTCCCTCACCCATGCTGCTCACCCCTACCCTTCCTGCCAGGCGTGTTCCGGTGCGGTCCGGCCTCAGTCACTGCCATCCGTGAGGGCGACGTGCACCTGGCCCACGATGGCCCCTTTGTGTTTGCGGAGGTCAATGCAGACTACATCACCTGGCTCTGGAACGAGGATGACAGCAGGGAACGTGTGTATTCAGACACGAAGAAGATTGGGAGGTGCATCAGCACCAAGGCTGTGGGCAGCAACTCCCGCGTAGACATCACGGGCCTCTACAAGTACCCAGAGGGTAAGGGCAGCACGGCGGCCTCCATCAGCCTCCCCGATGACCCGACCGCTGCAGAGGGACAACCGTGGGTGGCGGGACCAGGCCCTTTCCCGGATGATCTGGTGGTGGTAGCATCCTTCAACACTGTCTCTGTGCTTTGAGCCAAGTGCCTTTAGCTCAGTGGCTCTCAACCTTCTGGCCCTTTAAATACAGGTCCTCGTGTTGTGATCCAACCATAAAATTATTTTCGTTGCTACTTCATAACTATAATGTTGCTACTACTATGGATCATAATGTAAATATCTGATATGCAGGATGGTCTTAGGCGACCCCTGTGAAAGGGTTGTTCAACCGCCAAAGGGGTCGTGACCCACAGGTTGAGAACTGCTGCTTTAGCTTCTAGTAATAGCTCCCTCTGTTTTCTAAGATTTCCCACATCTAATGATATAATAGCTGCATGTCCTTGAACACTTACCATGTGCCAAGCACTGTATGAGCTATGTTCACATATAATAATAATTACTTTAAACATAGTGATGATAGTAGTAGAGTTTTTTAACTTGAACATCTAGGATACTTAGCACTAGGGCCCAGTTCAAAATTAATAATAATAATAATAACAATAATAATAATAATAATAATAACAATAACAGCAGTGCCTGTTTATCATCTGCCAAAGCCTATGCCATGGTCACTAATTTGTGCTCTCTCCCACCTTCTCTCTCTAAAAAAAAAAAAATAGCCCTCGCCGGTTGGGCTCAGTGGATAGAGCCTGCAGCCTGAAGGGTTCCAGGTTCAATTCTGGTCAGGGGCACATGCCTGGGTTGCTGGCTCCATCTCCCCACTGGGGGCATGCAGGAGGCAGCCAATCTGGTGATTCTCTCTTGTCATTGATGTTTCTATCTCTCTCCCTTTCCCTTCCTCTCTGAAATCAATAAAAATATATATTTTTTTAAAAAAAAAACAATAAATAAATAGAAACTTTTACGTTATTGAAATAGTCCAGAACCAAACAGAATGCATATGGCTGAGGTCTGCATATGGCTCCTGGGCTGCCAATGGGAGACCTCCGGCAGCGTGGGAAATTAAAGTGAAGAGAAGAGGGGAAATGGGAACCGGTGGCCTGGCTCTGAGGTGTGCGGTGCCCTGCAGGGTCCCGGAAGGAGAGGCAGGTGTACTGCAAGGCCGTGAGGAAGCTGTTCGGAGTGGAAGCCTCTGGGAGGAGGGCCCGGGTCCGCAGGGGCGGCGGCCGCGGTCTCTGGCGCGATGACCTGCTGGAGCCCGCCACCAAGCCCAGCATCGCGGGCAAGTTCAAGGTGCTGGAGCCGCCCATGCTGGGCCACGACCTCAAGCTGGCCCTGAGCCTGACCAACCTCACCTCGCGGGCCCAGCGGGTCCGAGTCAACGTGAGCTGTGCCACCATCCTCTACACCCGCAGGCCGGTGGCCGAGATCCTGCGGGACTCCCAGGCGGTGCGGCTGGGGCCCGAAGAAGGTAAGACCGCCCGCTGCCCGGTGGGACCCGGCCAGCCCTGCCCCTTTCCGGGAGGTTGGGGGCGAGGCTTGACTTCCCATAATCCTACGTTCATCCCCAGGAAAGGAGAGGGTATTCCGAGCATTTGCCCAGGGCCTCGCCTCTAGTCTGCACTTTCCAGATGAGGAAACTGAGGCTCAGAGGGGCTCACTAATGAGAAGAGTCATAAAGTCACAATCACCTGCTGGCAAACGGACCGAATAGTGAGAGGATTTATAGTCTCTATTTATAAATTAGTATGAACTCTTACATGCTGGGGGCATGTCATACCCTGTGGAATACGCTTGTGTCGCCTTCCCCAGGTGCCCTGCATGAGAGGGGTAGGTGAGTAAGAGGCGTTTATTAAGTGCTTACACATGTCAGGCCCTGTCCTGGGAATTCAACTCACACCCAGAAAGGTGAGCTCGCCAGTCCACGGCCACACATCAGTCTGTGCAGAGGCAGGACTCACACCAGCCTGAGAGCCCAGGCAAAAGCCAGGCACATGGCGCAGCTGGCCCTGCGGCCTGACCGCGGGCCTTGGAGAGGTGGGTGCGGCCAGCCCACACGGACTGTGCTTAACATGCCTAACGGTGCATTTGCCTGAAATGCACCCTTGATATTTTGAACCAAAACATCATCCTTTTGAAATTTTTTGCACAATTTTAAGGTACTTTATTCTAACTGCTTTTAAATATATGTATTTCAAGGATTTTTTACACCTGGCACTTCATCTATGATTTACTAAATGTATCCCATTTGATTATTCCTTTTCCTACTCTCTCTTCCTCCCTACCTCTCTGTCTTTCTCTCCCTCTTCCTGTCTTTGTCTGTCTATCTCTTCACATACCTTCTGAACTGTAAGGATTCAATTAAACAAAGAAACTGTTGCTCTGGGCCAGTTTGTGGTGAGGGAAACTTGTGTATCTTGACAAGGCGTGAAAACATATGAAGGAGGTGTCATTTAATTTTCACAAAATCTAAATCACACTTTATAATGAAATATTAATTAACATATACTTTCTCCGGGCTTTTAGCAATTTTTTTCATATTGAAAGTAATACACAGTCATTAATGACTGAGAGCACGCAAGAGAAAGATCACCCAGGATCCTGCCACCCACCTACCGATGAACATATTTTCCTTGCAAATTTTTAATGCCTGTTTGCTTTTTGAAAAACATCGTTTTAATCATATTGCAAATACTCATTGGTGCTCTGCTCTTTACACTTTACATTGTAATTTAAATTTTTATAAGCCTTTCATTAACATCGTTTTAGTGGATGTGTAATCTGCAAAATATATGGTGATGTCTTTTATCTTTTCCCCTCTTTTGGGTAGTTATCAGCTTATTGCTATTTAAAAATACAAACACTACCCTGGCCGGTTTGGCTAAGTGGATAGAGCATCCACCTGCAGACTGAAGGGTCCTGGGTTCGATTATGATCAAGGACACATGCCCAGAGTTGCAGGCTCAGTCCCCAGTAGGGGGCGTGCAGGAGGCAGCTGATCCATGGTTCTCATCATTGCTGTTTCTCTCTCCCTCTCCCTTCTTCTCTGAAATCAATATATATATATATATATATATATATATATGTATGTGTATATATATATATATATGTATGTATATGTATATATATGTGTATATATATATATGTGTGTGTGTATATATTAATATATATACATATATACACTAATATATATATATACATATATATATATTCACAAATTCATATCCAAACCCATCAGAATGAAACTGCAGGAAATTAAATAAAAAATAAAATCTTTAAAAATACAGTAACGTAAACATCTTGGTTCAAATATATATATCCTTTTTCTCACCTGAATTTTTTATTGTTTTGTTAGAATACATTCACAAACATGGAATTACTGAGCCAAACGGTATGTCTATTAAAGTATAAAATTTATTAACATTTATCATTTTTTAATTAATGGACATTTTTAGCAGTTTTAGATTTACAGAAAATTTGAGTAGAAAGTACAGATAGATCACATATAGCCCCTCACCACCTCCCATCTTTCCCTATTATTAACATCTTGCATTAGTGTGGAACATTTGTTATAATTGATGAGCTAATATTGATACATTATTTATAAAGTCCATAGTTTACATTAGGGTCCACTGTATTGTACATCCTATGGGTTTTGACAAATGTATAATGACATGTATTCACCACTGGAATATCACGCAGAATAGTTTCACTGCCCTAAAATTGCGAAGAGTTTTTTTTTTTTACCAACTCATTCTTCCCTCCCTCTCCTTGAACCCCTGGCAACTACTGATCTGTTTACTGTCTCCATAGTTTTGCCTCTTTGAGAACGTCCTATAGTTGGAATCATAGAGCCTTTTCACGTTGGCTTCTTTCACTTAGAAACATATACTTAAGATTCCTCCATGTTTTTTTGTGGCTTGGTAGCTCATTTCTTTTTAGTGCTGAATAATAATCCATTATATGGATATAACAGTTTATTTATCCATTCACCCACTGAAGGACAGACTTCTTGGTTGCTTCCAAGTTTTAGCAACGATGAAGAAAGCTGCTATAAACATCTGTGTGCAGGTTTTTGTGTGGACAGATTTCAACTCTTTTGGGTAAATACCAAGGAGTGTGATTGCTGGATGGTAAAAGAGTATGTGTAGTTTTCTAAGAAACTGCCAAACTGTCTTTCAGAATGGCTGTACCATTTTGCATTTCCACTAGCAATGAGCAAGAGTTACTGTTGCTCTACATTCTCTCCAACACTTGGTGTTGTCACTGCTTTAGAGTTTTGCCATTCTAATAGGTGTGTGGTAGTATCTCATTGTTGTTTTCATTTGCAGTTCCTTCATGATTTAGGATGTTGAGCATCTTTTCATATGCATCTGTATAGCTTCTTTGGTGAGGTGTCTGTTCAGATCTTTTGCCCATTTTTTAATTGTGTTGTTCATTTTCTTATTGTTGACTTTAAGGGTACCTTGTATATTTTGGACAGCAGTCCTTTATCAGATATATCTTTTGCAAATACTTTCTCCCAGTCTGTGGCTTGTCTTCTCATTCTCTCTACAATGTCTTTCACAGAGCAGAATTTTATAATTTTAATGAAGTCCAACTTGTCAATTTTTTTTTCTTTCATGGATTGTGCCTTTGGTGTTGTATCTAAAAAGTCACCATTATACCCAAGATCTCTAGGTTTTCTCCTAGGAATTTTATAGTTTTGCATTTTACACTTAAGCTTATGATTTATTTTGAGTTCATTTTTGTAAAGGCTATAAATCTGTGTCTACATTTATTTATGTTTATTTATATTTGAATGTCCAGTTATTTCAGCATTATGTTTTTTAAAAACTGTAATTTCTTCATTTATTTCCTTTGTGACTATATTTATGTGGCTCTATTTCTGGACTACTCTGTTCCACTGATGTATTTGTCTGCTCTTTGCCAATACCATATTGTTTTGATTACTGTAGTTTTTGGTGAATCTTGAAATCTGGTAGTGCTGGTCCTTTGATCTTATTTTCCTTCAATATTATGCTGACTGTTCTGGATCTTTTGCCTCTCCACATAAACTTTAGAATCAGTTTTTCAATGTCCAAGAAATAACTTACTTGGATTTTGATAGGATTGCCTTAAATATAGATCAAGTTGGGAAGAACTGGCATCTCGATAATATTGGGTCTTCCTATCCATGAACATAGAATATCTCTCCATTTGTTTATATGTTTGACTTGTTTCATCAGAGTTTTGTTCTTTCCTTATATAGATCTTGTACATATTTTGTCAGATTAATGCCCAAGTATTTCATTTTGGGGATGCTAGTGTAAATGGTACTGTGTTTTTAATTTCAAATCTCACTTCATTGCCAGTTTATAGGAAAGTGATTGTATATTGATCATATATCCTGTGACCTTGCTGTAATCACTTACTAGTTCCAGGATTTTATTGTTGTTGTCCTTTCAAATCTTGTACCTAGATGATCATGTCATCTGTGAACAAAGAGTTTTCTTTCTTCCTTCCTAATCTGTATGCTTTTTATTTCCTTTTCTTGTCTTATTGCCTTAGCTGGGACATTCAGCACAATGTTAAAAAGGAGTGATGAGAGGGGACATCCTTGCCTTGCTCCTGATCTGAGTGGGAAAGCTCTGAGTTTCTCACCGTAAAGTATGTTGTCAGCTGTAGGTATTTTGTAAATGCTCCTTATCGAAATTCTCGGGGAACAGAGAGTGTGAGCCAAGTTCAAGCCTTTACGGACCTTTTCCACAGGTTTAAAACTCAGGGGCAGGAAGGAAACAGAAATAAGGAAAGCAGTGGCAATAGAGCAGTAGAGGATGGTAGGGTCTGGAACAAACTGGGAAGGACATGGTGCACCTAAATAATAATTATATATGTGGGTCAAAAAATAGCCCAAATATGACTGACAGTCAGATATGGCCTGTGGTAGCCTATACTCACAAGAAAAGAATACATAGTGTGTTTGTGGCTGGTGAGAGACAGAGATAGCCTGGACCAGAGGAGCTTAGAAGGCAGAGGGCACAAGCTCACTGCATGGGGGTATCAGTGAAGGTTTTTCATTATTGGTGGGGCTGGTTAGGACTGGGCCTTCGTGGGGAGGAACAAGAGAGAACTGTGCGGAAATTGGCCTCCTCCCTCGATTGGAAGCTTGAGACAGGTCTTTGGTCTCCCTCTTCTCTGCACTAGCACATAACAAGTGCTCAATAGACAGTGCGTGAACTCCTGATGGGATAAATGTTTAATGAACTGAGAGATTTCCATCTGGAATGACTAGGGAAAGTTTAAAGACATTTCCAGGAACTCTTAGAGAGACAATCTGATGTCATGGTAGCTGACTGGTCTGAATTTGAATTCCACCTCATCTTAGCTCTTTGATTCACTTGCCAAGTGGCATTGGACAAGAAATTACCCTCTCTGAGCCTCAGGTTTCTTCATCTGCGAACTGGGAATGATAATGCCTTCCTCCGGTTGGTTGCAAGGACCAGAAAGAGTGTAGCTGTGAATTGAACATTCCCTTCCTCTTTCTGGGTCCTGTTGAAAAAGAACATTGGATTCCCAACTCCCACCTCTTCTTTCCCTTCCAGAGAGAAAGATCCCAATCACAATATCTTACTCTCAATATAAGGAAGACCTGACAGAGGACAAGAAGATCCTGTTGGCTGCCATGTGCCTTGTCACCAAAGGAGAGAAGCTCCTGGTAGAAAAGGACATTACTCTGGAGGACTTCATCACCATCAAGGTGACCCCTGTCCGCATCCACCACCTTGTTCCTGGCCGAGCTGAGGGAGGAAATCAGAGGCTCGGGGGGGGGGGGGGGGGCGGGTGCTTCTGGCTCTGGCTTCAACTCTCACGGGTAGGAGAAATGGCATGGATGCAGGGGGATGGATAGAATGATGGAGCTAGGTAACTGGGTGTGTGAAAGCAAGGGGTAGAGATGATTTTGCCCCATCATCTGACCCACCAGGACCATGGGTTTTCCTGGGGAAATGAGGATGAGAAGGGATGATTTTATGGGTATTGCCCCTCCAGGTGCTGGGCCCGGCCATGGTGGGGGTAGCAGTTGTAGTGGAAGTGATGGTGGTCAACCCCCTCTTGGAGAAAGTAAAAGGCGGTATGCTGATGGTGGAGGGCAGTGGCCTTCTCCAGGGACAGCTCAGCATTGAGTAAGTGCCACTCTGGGGAGGGTGGAAGTGTGGGGGGAGGGCTGCCTTTCTTCTAAGATGGGCTGTAGAGGAGCTGCTAGTGTGACCTTGATCTTGAGGTTTCTGGAGAGCCACGGACTGGCAGGCCAGCTCAGGAATGGGAGAGGGCTGATGGTCTGCTTTTCTCCTTTTCCCTTCCCCCAGTGTACCCAGCCTGGAGCCCCAGGAGAGGGCCTTGGTCCAGTTCAACATCACCCCCTCCAAGAGTGGCCTAAGGCAGCTGCAGGTGGACTTTGTCAGCCCCCAATTCTCAGACATCAAGGGCTTTGTGATCATTCACGTGGCCACAGCCAAGTGATGGGCCACAAGGGGCTGAGAGCAGAGGAGATGGCTCCCGTTCCTCTTCCATCCACCTTTTTGTCTCTGCCATGTGGAAGCCAGGAGCCCTGGGTTCAAGTCCTGCTTCAACTTCTGCCCCACTCTGTGAACTTGGGCAAGTCCCTTCCCCTCTTGGACCTTGATTTCCTGTCTGTAAAATGAGGTCTTAGACTCAGTAATCCTTATACTTTTGGACAATGGTGGATTATGTAGGGAGCCTTTACCATCTTCATCTCATCACCCTGGTTGCTGGAGGCTGACAGATCAAGCATCAAAGTAACCCCAACCCACCTGGCACTGCCACCTCCTGGCAGGCAGATCACGGTCACCTTGGCTAACTCCTGGTTCTCATTGCTTCTCTCTTAGCTCTTCAATGCTCTGACCACAACCAGACCCAAAACTTTTCTCCTGGCTCTTACAAAGAACCCAAAAGTTTTTAAGCTAAAACCTAAATGTTTCTTAACACCCCCGTTTTACATAGAGTGAGGAGCCTTGACTACACACTTGTGCTTGCCATTTACACCCTCTAAATTTTACCCCAAAGTCATGTTCCTTAAGAGCATTAGATTTGAAGGGATGGGAGATTTTCTCTCAATGAAGACCCAGGCCCAGAATCCGAAGGGTTACTTCTGCCTAGAAGAAGCTAAAGATAGAAAAGGAGCCATGAAGACTGGGTTACATTTGGGTATTCAGCCCCAAATCTGATCTAGTTATGGTCATAAATGACCTCATGCAACCAGCCCAGTGTTGATTTACTTCTTTGGAACCAGGAGAGTGTTGACTTTGCAGAACACCCCCAAGCAGCTTAGCTATGCACAATCACACTCTTAGCATCAAACAGGACAGAGAGCCCTGGGATGAGGACCAGCATGAAGACTTCCAGGTTCTGAAGATAACCACACCAGACATGAAAATCAGCTCAAAAATGTTCTACACAGTCAAAGGAATGATAATTAACCACATAACTGAAGACTAGAGTGAAGGAATAAATTGGAGTCACAATAGTCAAGCTACTAAATTATTAAAATAAAGTAGACTGAAGCATGAGGAAACAATTCTATTCTTTTTTTAAATATATTTGTTATTGATTTCAGAGAGAAAGAGAGAGGGAGAGATAGAAACATAAACGATGAGAGAGAATCATTTATCGGCTGCCTCCTGCATGCCCCCTACTGGGGATCGAGCCTGCACATGTGCCCTTGATGAGAATCGAACCCAGAATCTTTCAGTCCGCAGGCCAATGCTCTATCCATTGAGCCAAACCGGCTAGGGCAATGCTATTCTTTTTTAACTGATCCTGGGAACTTAAACTTTTGAACTTTCCAGTCCTGCATGAATACCTGGACCCACATCAGGGCATTGTACAATGCCTGGTCATTGTACATCATACCCTCTGGTTGATTATCTGAGTGACTTTGAGAAGAAATTGTTTCATTGTCTAGATCACTGGACATCTGAAGATTACCATCTCAGACCAACCCACAGGCTAAGAATAGAGGACTGATTCTTCTCAAGAATGTACTTTTTACTATAAGAACCCTCAGCTTTTTTTTCCCCCTTCAGAACATTCTGAATGTTCTGAGTTGTGTTTCCAGTTTACTAACCCTAAGACCCTTGAATAAATCTTTGTTATTTTATTTCTAGTCAAAGCCTCTTGACTCTTTTGAGTGTGTTTGACATAATTTAAGTATGAACAACAGCAACAAAGCAGGCTCATCTACAGTGAGACACCTCCTTGATGCAAACTCAAGTGGGAACAATTACGTAGTGGGTCTTTTCAAAAAGAGGGTCAGGCACATACAAGGCCTCAGTGAAGGCATTTCTCTGATGATTCTACACAGCATGGGGACAGCCTAGAGCACCCAGATGAGTGGATGCAGACCCTTGTGCTGCCTCAGCTCTCAGACCCCCTTTCCAAACCTAGTTTTGGATGCTGGTCCTCTGTGAGAGGGGCAGCGGGAGGCTCAGAGCAGGCAGTCACTTCCTCAAGGTTGAGCAGTAAGAAGGGGCACAGGGGGCTGAAGACAACGGAGGCGATCCTCCCACTCTTGGTCCAAAAGACAATCCTTTCAGCAGGGAGACTGAGATGGTCTCCCCTGGTGGTGGCCCCAGATCCTCATTCTTCCAGCAAACGCCATTGCCCATCTTCTTCAAGCTCAGCTGTCGCAGGTTGAGCTTCCCAGAAAGCTGACTCTGAGATGGAGTTTAGGGTGCAGGATGTTGATTGAGAGGTGGCCTGAGATCAACCCCAATCTCAAACTAAGTTCTTACCCCAGACTAAGCTCTCATCCCCACCTCAGACTAAGTCCTCACAGCAGACTGAGCCCTCATCCCGGCTTCAGGCTACGTCCGGAACCATGACTGAGCTCTAATCCTGATCTCTGACTGAGCCCTGAACCCAGGCTGAGCCCTGATTCCTGTCTGAGCTCTGATCCCACGCCGAGCCCTCATCCAGCCTTAGCCTGAGTTCTGATGCTGCTCTGACCCCAGCCAGATCGAGCTCTAGGCCTTGGTTTTATATTTCTCATCCACATCTGAGCTTCTCAAATGGGGACCCACACACCCCTCTGGTAAACATGACCTGTCCCCTGGACCAGGGGTCTGAGCTCACCTTCCTTTCCCTCTGAGGTAGTGGGGCAGAAATACGTGAGAAGAGGTGAACCCCTGGATTCTTCAGCTCTGTCATGCTGTGGGGGTCTGCATTCCAGCCCGGTTCCCAGGGGTAAATATAAAAGCTGGATCTGACCAGGGCCCTTCCTCCACGCATGTTGGTTTTTCTCAGGTGAAACCAACCAATATATATTGTAATGCTTCTTCAACTAAACACTCGAGCACATAGCATGCGTGCTCTCCATAACCCAACTTTAATTTCGAAGAAGGAAAACCTGCAGTTCCCCCAAATGACCGAAGCTCAGCTAGTCTGTTAGATATGGTTGCACTGGGGTCATCATATTCCTGACGCTGCTCAAAGGGCGTCCTGCTTTGTTAATCAGCCAAGCAGCCAAAGTGCAAAACAGGTAGAACTGTTCTCAGGCTCGGTAGGCAGTGCAAACAGTGTCTGCGCGGGAGCATCAGGATATTCCTCCAGAGGAGCTCCTCCTCCCAGCGAGCAGCTTCAGCTTCTCCACCAGGTCCTGCATCAGCAGGAACACTGGGCAGGTGGCTTCTGAGGGGGTTTTGTTTGATTGATTGTTTTTTTGTTTTTGTTAATCCTCACCTGAGGATATTTTTCCATTGATTTTAGGAAAGTGTAAGGAGGGAGGGAAGGAGAGAGACACATTGGTTGTCTCCTGCATACACCCCAACCAGGGCCCGGGATCGAACCTGCAACCCAGGTACATGCCCTTGACCAGGAATTGAACCCATGACCCTCTGATATGCAGGCCGATGCTGTAACCACTTACCACACTGGCCAGGGCTGATTGTTTTTTTTAGTTCTTGTTTTTAATTTTAAGCCTGATTTCCTAGCGGTCACCCTGGGTTAGCATGTAATTAGTCAGAGATATCACATTCAAAGTTCGGGCAGTTCTACAAGGGGACCCATCTTTTACATTCTATGTTTACAAGATCTCATGTTCAGCTGTGTCCTCTCCGGTCTGTCCTAGGTGCTCACAGCCTTGGGCATGGCACAGTCCTCCAGACCACCGGAAATAAGTAGGATCTTGTCAAGACCCACTTCCCAGATGTCCCTTGTTAAATTTCCAGCTGTTCTGCCCGTCTGTTGCTTGTCCCGATAAGCATGGAGACCTTAAGTTAGCCATGACAGTGGCCTCTGATTGTTTGCCACTGAGAATGCTGATGTTTTTGACAGCACCTCTGCATTGGGTACACTCTTTAAGACCAAGATGTGGTTGTCACAAGGTAGTGTATTTACTTGCAGCAAGTAAAGGAGACGGGGCATTTATATCCAAAGCTCTGTCCCCCCAGGCAGGCTTAGCCATTGCTTATATACACTATTTGGTTAATTACACATTGATTTCTTCTTTGTAGTTGGTACATTTATCTGGTTGGGTTGCTGTCAAGCTCATCCTGTTTACAGCTGGTCTGCAAAATACTGTGCTACATTTTAACACTTAGCAAGAACATTTAGTAATAACATTGAGAGCTGCCCAGACCTTGAGACCCTTATCCTACCTAACACCTAAGCATGGAATCTTGTTGTGCACTCTTCTCCAATAAAGTCAGTCCCCATCATCAGCAGAGCTGCAGTCCTCAGGGCCTGCCTTGCCCTGGTAGGATTAGAGCTGGAAAGGGTGTGAGGTGAAGGGAATAGCTCTAGCCTAACATGCCATCGACTCCCACTGTTCTTACTGAAGTTTGATAGATTTTCTTAAATAATGCTTCTCAATTTGGTGCGTCACACTTAATACATCTCAGAATGAATCCCTTATTCCCATCCCTGCCCGCTGTAAATAGAAACTCCCTCCTTCCAGCTCTTCAAGTCAAAAACCTTGAAATTATCCTTTATTCCAGTTTTTCTCTCACCTCATTAAATCCAACTGCGAATCCTATCCGTTATACCTTCAAAATATTCCCAGAGTCCATCTGCCTCTCAACACCACCATTAACCCCTACCTGATCCACCACAGTCTCTTGCATGGACCATTGCAGTAGCCTCCTCACTGATCACCCTCCTTCTTCTCCTTCCTCTCCTCTGTCCTTCTAATCTAGGCAACCAGAAGGAACCTTTGAAAATCTAAGTCACATAATATCATTTCTTTGCTCAGATCCTCTCCATGAACACCCCATCTCACTCAGAGCAAAAGCAAATGTCCCACAGCTGATCTCTAACTTCATCTCCTGTCATCCCCTTCCTTATCCACTCATTAGAGCCAGTGACTCTCAGTCAGGTCTACTCGTGAGACAGACACCATGCAGGAACCTGTACAGAGAACATCTATATATATAAAGCCCTAATATGCAAATAGACTGAATGGCAGAACAACCAACCAACCAACCAAACAACCGGTTGCTATGATGTGCGCTGACCACCAGGGGGCGCACAAGGAATATGGCATGCATCAGCTGTGGCAGGATGGTGGAGCAGGTGAGCAGGGCGCCAGGCCAAGGTGGGACGCTGGTCGCTGTCATCAGGGCGAGCCTCTGGTGGTTACTGAAAATTCTTTGCTCCCTTGTACTGTGGTCCCGCCTGGCACTTGTGCCTGCTGCTGGCGCCAGCCCCACTCGCACCCGCTGACAGCGCCCAGCACTGGCCCCGATGCTCAGCCCTGTCAGCAGGTGCAAGCAGCGGCTGCCGGCCCCGATAGCCACTCAGGGCTTTTCCACCTCCCTTTGCTCCTGAAGGGCAATCAGAGCTAGCAGCTGCCTCTCGCACCCACTGCCAGCACTGGCCCCGCTCACATCCACAGCTGGTGCTAGAGCCACTGCTCGCACCAGCTGCCAGTGCCTGGTGCTGGTCCCGATTGCTCAGCACCATCAGCAGGTGCGAGCAGCAATTGCCGGCCCCAATTACCCCTGAGGGCTTCTCCACCTCCCCCTGCTCCTGAGGGGCAATCGGGGCAACAGCCACAGCTTGCACCTGTTGCTGGCGCCAGCCCCAATCACTCCATGCCATCAGTGGGTGAGAGCAGGGCCGGCACCATCATCGTGTGGAAGTGGCGGTGGTAGGAGCAGGGCTGCTGGCAGAGAGGGGTGGGGGGGGCACGACAGGAGGGGCTGGGTGGGGATGCAGAAGATGGGCCGAGACCCACCCCTGTGCCCACTGCAGCCTTGCGGCCCACAGTTCCTTTCAAAGTGCACGAATCCATGCACTGGGCCCCTAGTTTAATATAAAGAATTATTGACTGTAACAGGTGTTGGAGTAATGGGCTGTTAGCTAGTAAGACATAACGAGAACTCCAAAGAATGTAGGAATTTCATATTCAAGGAGCAGCCACTACTCCTGGGGCTGAGATACTGAGCCAAGGAAAAGCCCACTCCCCACTCCCAGAAAGGTTGACAAACAGGCCTTGCTGGAGAGTGTGTGTGCTGTGCCTCAATGGATGGCAGAGCCTGTGGTACCTCACCAGTGAAAGTTGCTGGAAATCTGCCCTCTAGTTTGCCAGGGAAAGCTATTCCAGGTGAGGCATCTCCCAGAGGAATTCTGTTACAAAACTGCCCAAGATGGGTGCGGGGAAGGAGGAGCT